GCTGTTGTTGCTGCTGGCGCTGAGCATGGCCGTGCAGGGCCCCTGCACCAACATCCTGCACAACTTCTCCCAGGCCGCCGAGTCGCTGTCGTGTGGGGCCGAGCTCGCCCTCAACCAGACGGCTGGCAACGCGCAACGCACCCAGGAGCCGCTGCTGAGTGAGAGGAAGGGGATGCGGTGGGATAGGAGGGCCCCTTCCTGGGGGAGCCCCAGCAGCGCTGGCCGGCCCAGGGCTGCCCTCGCCCCTCGGGGTATGGTCAGGTGTCTCCCCTCTCCGCAGATGTGCTGGCCAAAATCAAGGACATTGCCCAGAAAGCCAAGGTGGTAGGTGACCGCGTCCGCAAGTTCTTCCGCTCCATCATGGACTCCGTCAGCCACGTCGGTGAGCGGGGGTCCACGAGGGTCTCTCTGGCTCCAACACCCCCCCATCCTGCTTTTGGTCTGTCCCCGTCCCCATGACCCGCTGCCCGTCCCCTAAAGCCCGCTCCCTGCCTGCAGCCCGAGCCCTGCGCAATGTCTGGCTGTGGCGGGCGAACGTGGGCAAGGTGTGCAACCAGGAGCTGGGCACGCCGTACCACCGCTGCCTGCGCCTCTTTGACGAGGCCAAGGACAACTGTGAGCGCGCTGTCCCCTTCCTCTTCTTCCTCTGCTATGTCATCGTCACCTTCAAGCCCTTCTGCGGTCTGGCCAATGGTGCGTGGGTCCCTGCCCCTCAGCAGCGGGGCAGGGGAGCGGCAGGGGGGACCCCCGCCCACCGCCGGGGCCCCACCCTGGCAGAAACACCCCCTCTCCACAGTTGCCCTCCTCTTCTGCGTCATTCCGCAGTACATCCAGTCCTTCCTCAAGAGTAAAATCGCAGCCCGTGAGTATCCCGGTGCTGTGGAGGGGTCGGGGGTCCCTCTCTGCCCCCCCTCTGCCCCCTCCTGGCTCTCGCCCTGACCCCCAGCACCGCACGGCCCCTTGTCACCCCCGCAGCCCTCAGGGATGCTCTGGACCGCGTCCGCCGGGAGTTTGAGTTCAACATCTCGGCCGTGCACCGCTTCGACGTCAGACTCAACGCCAGCAAGAGCCTGGGGGAGGTGGCCCTGGACATCATGGAGGGCGTGCTCCTGCGCCTGGAGCCCACCCGCCAGGTCCTGGGGCTCTTCACGCACATCTCCTTCTGCGCCATCCTCTACATGTACCTCCAGTGAGTGGGCTGGGGTCCTGCTCCGGCCACCCCATGGGGACGGGGACCCAGCGTGCAGGTGCCCAGCATCCCCCCTGTGTCCCCAGGGCACTGCGGTACCGCTACCGGTACCTGCGGGACGACACCTTTGACAACATTTACATCACACGGCGCTTCGTGGAGCTGGACCTGTGGCGGGCTGAGCAGGGCAGACCCACCGTGCTGCCCCTGACAGCCTGGGAGCGCGGCCGCTACATCCCCCCAGGTCAGCCCTGCACCTGGGGGCATCCCCCAGGTGAGCCCTGTGGCGGGGAGCCGGGGGGTCCCAGCACGGCACGGCCTCATGGCATTCCTGTGCCCGCCCAGGCGGGCTGTGGCTGTCACGGCAGGAGTGGCGCCGGTACGGGCTGCAGCTGGTGGGGGTCCTGCGCCACATGCTGCTGGGGCTCAGCATCATCCTGGCTGACTACAGCCTCTTCTGGCTGCCT